GGGGACCTCTTGGAACGCCTCGACGGCCTCGTGGGCCGTCTTTGAGGCCACCCTGGGCCATCTTGGAGCCAGCATGGCCCGTCTTGGAGCGATATTGGGCCGTCTTGGAGGCATCTGGGCCTCGGGAGCGCGAATCTGTTGTACACTGCGAAGGATAACGGCCTCGGGGAGGGCGATGCGCGCAACGAAGTGCGGCCAGGAGAGGGGGGACGCCTTTAGAAAATTGCACAAACCCGACCAGGCAGACCTTGGCATTCTTCCACGCCTCAACGTGTACAAGGCACGGTGGCGGATGTACGAATGTACAGGTATACGTTTATGTACATGTATATGTAAGCGCATCTGGATATCTATAGGTATATGTGCATGCACATATGCACACGTGTAACTACATATGTAAGTGTATGTACACCTGTGTACCTGCACATGTACATGCATACGTGAATGTGCATGTATATGTATATGTTTTTTTTTGTGCACGCGTATGTTTGTGTAAATGTATATGCTTTTGTATGCGTAAGCTGCCTGAATTTGTACATGGAGGTTGAGGTAGGCATGTCTACGAGCATGACTAGATTTGTGTATACGGATATGTATACGTAATGTCTATGGATATGTCTATGTGTGCATATATATGTGTATGTACATGTATATGAATGTGCACGTGCATGTGTATGTGTATGTGTAGCCTTATTTACATACATGTAGATGGGTGCACACATGTGACTAAGTTTACGTTCCTGTATATGTATACGGACGTGTGTATGCAGATGCATATGTATGCTGTAGGCATACGAATGTGTACATGTCCATGTATGTGTTTATGCAGTGGTGTATGTAATTATAAGTTCAGATGGCGCTGTAGATGCACATGTTGATGTATAGGTAGATGTAGATGTAGTTGTTTACGGATATGTCTACGGACATGGGTATGATCATCGACCGCCAAATATATATGCATGAGTATGTATGTATATATGCAAGCATGAATGTACGTAAGGTATGTTTGTATGTGGGTACGCATGCATGAATGCATACATGTATGTAGTCATACATAAACATATGTATGTATGTACGAGTGTATGTCCACATAAATATATATATAGCCACCGATATATATATATATACATATATATATATGATATCTGCGTGTGCCTGTATGTCCGTATGTATGTATGCATGCAGGCATGTATGCATGTATGTATGCATGTATGTTTGCAGGTATGTCAGGTATGGATGGCTTTATGCATATGTATGTGTGTAGATAGGCATGCAACCATCTATACATATATAAATATGTATATATATATGTGTGCGAATCCGATGAACACCTGTGCGGGTTGCTCGAAGGCCAGTAATTGGCCGCCCAGGGCTAACTGTACAGTCCCCAGAGCCACCAGACGCAACGCCAATACTGTACAAGGCGAAATCCAACGAGGCACGTATGGCCTCGTCGAGAGCGCGCACGCTCGACTGACCACGCAAGCCAGCCTCCCGTGCATGGAATTACGGGCCGCTGCCCCAACACGCCCTCGGCATGCCCAGGCCACAGCCCGGCACATGCACGACGCGATGTATACCCACATTGGCCACGCCGAAGCACAGACTGGAGTTGCACACGAGAGCTCTTCAACTAGAAAGTTGAGCCAGCGAAAGTTGGTGGGGGCCGACTACCAGCCGACGGATGCCGAAGTTCGCTGCGCCACGGCACAACGCCGCCGAAGCGTGCCGTCGTTGCCGTATGAGACGCCCTGACGTCCTTCCGCTAGAACGCCACGAGCGCGGTATCTCATCATTGGTCGCTGCGCACGATGGAAGCCACCGAAGCCGCAGCCGGCGCCCGCGCGATGTACCTGCACCCTCGCTGAGGTAGATTTAGCACCTGCACGCGTACATTACTGCCCTGGTTTGCTTCCCGGTGCGGCGGCCCGGCCTGGGCCGGGAGCGGAGTGCCCCAGGAGGGCCCCAATGACGGACCAAGAAGGGCGCGGGTGGCGTTCCGTGCGGTCCAAGAGCCCCGAGTCGCTGAGCGATCTGTCCAAGATGCTGCAGATGGCCTCCAGACGGCCCAAAGAGCTTCCAAGACGCCCCCAGAGGCAGGAGCCCTTGCAAGAGAGCTCCAAGAGAAAAGCATCGTCCCATCCGATTGGACATTGAGTATTCTCAGGATGTGCGATTTTTGTTTTCACGGCGTCCACGACGGCCCAAGTGGCCTCCCAGATCACCCGAAGACGGCCCAAGAGGCTCCCGAGAGGGCCCCGCGACGCCCCAAGAAGGCCCCAAGGCGGCCCAAGTAGCGCCATGGTCCAAGAGGGCCCTCAGAGCTCCTCCAGACGGGTCCAAGGGGAGCTCGAATGTAAAGTTTGAGCCCTCCGCCCCAAGCGGGCCCCCGAAACCGCCAGCAGGCCCCCAAGAGGCCCCAAGAGGCCCAAACGAGGCCCCCCAGGGCCCCTAAGAGACATAGACCTATACGACCACCCTTCACGGTTGTGGGGGGGGGGGGTAGTGGGGGGGAAACCAACATCTGACCCAATCGAACTCTCGATCGATCCCATTCAGCGGGACACCACGGGACACCACGGGACACTCGTCGATCACATTATCGATCCCACTGTCGATCTCATTCAACGGGACACCACGGGACACCGCGGGACACTTCTCGATCTCACGGTCGTTCTCACTATCAATCTCACGATCGATCTCACTCAACGGAACACCACGGGACACCACGGGACACTTGTCGATCTCATTTTCGATCTCGCTTTATATCTCTTTGTGGGACACCGCGGGACACCACGGGACACCTCGAGGCACCACATCGGTCTCACTATCGATTTCACGATCGATCTCACCCCACGGGACACCACGGGACACCTGTTGATCTCATTATCGATCTCACTATCGGCCTCACTTTTTGGGACACCACGGGACACCCGGGGACACCCCGTGGCACCACATCGATCTCACTATCGATCTCCTCATCGATCTCATTCAACGGTCTCATCGATCTCACTATCGATCTCACGATCGATCTCACTATCGATCTCACTATCGATCTCACTATCGATCTCACTCAACGGAACACCACGGGACACCTAGGGAGACCGCGGGACACCGTGAGCCACCGCCGGACGGGGGATAATCATTTGTCTTGACTTCGCCTTAGCAACAGCGGACACCACGGGACACCACGGGACACCACGGGACACCGCGGGACTCCGCGAGCCACCGCCGGAAGGGGGATAATCATTTGTCCTGACTTCTCCCTGGCAGCGGCGGATACCACGGGACACCACGGGACACCACGGGACACCGCGGAACACCGCGAGCCACCGCTGGACGGAGGAGAAACATTTGTCTTGACTTCGCCCTGGCAACGGGACACCGCGGGACACCGCGAGCCACCGCCGGACGGAGGAGAAACATTTGTCTAGACTTCGCCCTAGCAACGGCGGAACACCGCGTGACACCGGGAGCCACCGCGGGACGGAGGAGAACCATTTGGCTGGACTTCGCCCCAGCAACGGCGGGACACCGCGAGCCACCGCGAGCCACCGCGGGACGGAGGAGAAACATTTGTCTTGACTTCGCCCCAGCAAAGGAGGGACACCGCGAGCCACCGCGGGACGGAGGAGAAACATTTGTCTTGACTTCGCCCTAGCAGCGGCTTGACACCGCGAGCCACCGCGGAACGGAGTAGAAACATGTGTCTAAACTTTGCCTTAGAAACGGCGGGTTCATTCCTGTCGTGTGCCCACGCAGCTTCGTTTCGCCCGCACGCACGACACGAACGAAACGAAACGATTTCCCGGCTGGGGGTCTCCGTTCCACTGCGATCTCACCCCTCAACCTCCGATTCATACACATTTTTGTGTCGAGTGTAGGGAGCAAGCGGGGGGGCGGACGAGGAGGAGGATGATGATGATGAGGAGGCGGAGGAGCAGGTAGAGGAGGAGGAGGAGCATGAGGAGGAGGTGGAGGAGGAGCAGGAGGAGCAGCAGGAGAAGCAGGATGAGCAGGAGGAGGAGGAGGAGGAGCAGCATGGCGTCCAAGACGCTGCGGCCGAGCCAGGGCAACGTAAACAGGAAGATGAAGAAGAGGGGGGGGAAGGAGGATGACGAGCATGATGAGGAGGAGGTGGAGGACACGCCCAGCCCCGGTGGACACCAGACCGAAGGCGATTCTGGTGCCAGGGTCGTGGACCAGTTGGAAGACGAGGCGGAACAGCACGTATCTTGAAGGTGTCACAGGCGTCCCGCCAAGCCGCCTGGGATCTCAGCCGGGGGTTAATACTGGCTCGGCTTCTCTGCCAAAGTGCCAAGACCGAATACTGGCTCGACAACGCTGGCATTACCGGGTATGCTGACCAGGCGACGCGCCGCGCGTCAGAGGAACCGTTCCGCCTCCGCGCGCGTTCGCCCGCGGCCGACAGGGGTGCCCCAGGGGGGGGAGGAACGCCAGGTAAGAAAGGGCCAGGGACCCCGAGCCAGGGGGGAACCCTGACAGCGGGGGGCGCCCCAACCCTTTCCCACCCCACGCCTCACCCACCCCAGGGGGAGCCCCCACGGCCAGCGGGGGCGCCGCCCCCCCAAACCCCAACCCCCCCCGTCGCCCTTCGCCTTTTCGGGCAAGTCCCCGGCTCTATTAATTTGTTCTCCGCCGATAGAGGCGGCAGTCGACCACATTGGGTTCCCCAACCGTCCTGGCGCACTCACCAGGCTCCGGCTTATTCGGGGGGGGGGCGAGGAAAACGAGGAGAAGGAGGAGGAGGAGGAGGAGAAATATATGAAGGAGGAGGAGGAGGAGGAGGAGGAAAAGGAGGAAAAGGAGGAGGAGGAGGAGAAAGAGGAGGAGGAGGAGGAGGACGAAGGAGGAAGGAGGAAGAGAGGGATGTCCACGCCCCCGCTCTCCGCTCCTCCCCGCCAGGCCCCCCCGCCTCTCGTCGCCCTCGCCGCCGTGTCCCCCTCCCCGCGGGCGAGGGCGGGCGCGTGCGCGCGCAGGGAACTGGCTGGCCACCTTCGCGCTGTGCCTGCGGCCGCGGGACGAGGCCCTTTGCGCAGCGAGACGCGCCCCTCCCCCGTCTCTCGCCCCGTCCCCCGCCCTCTCCCCCATCCCCCCCCCGCGCCCCGCCCTCATCCCGCGCCTTCGTCCCAGCCCCTCCCCGGGCAGCCCTACCCTCATCCTGCCTAATCCCTTCACAATGACCCCATATGAATGCAGTTTTTTCTGCGCGCAGATCCAGTCCGACCGTTACCCGTTTTCTCACGCATGGTGTCTGTCAGCGTACATGATTTCAACATTTGCTGCGTTGTTTGATTCGTTGTTGTGTCGCAGTTATAATTATTCCTGTGTCAAATTTTTGCCCCCGGTGCAGCAGTGGGTTCGTTTTCACATGGGCGCGTTGCTCCCAGCGTTTTGAATGGCGTTCCCGCCCAAGCGGGCTATTATTCTGGATCCGAGTGATTCCTCCTCGTCTTCCTCCTGCCGCATCCTCATCCCTGTCATCCTGCTCATCCGCCACCCCCTCCCCTTCCAGTGTGCACAGCTCCCCTTTTCCAGCTTGCGCACCGCACGATGAACTCCGTCTTCGGGGACCCACGGCCGCTATGCCACCAATCGGTGGACAGATTCAAACTGAGCGCAATTGGAAGGAATGGGTGGGAGGGGCAGGATGTCAGATACGGTTTGAGCGCGCTCAGCTCGCCCCCCCCATCCCCCGCCCCACCCTCCCTCCCTCCCCCCCTCCCTTTCCTTCTCCTCCTCCACCGCCTCGTTTTCAATTACCTTTCCTAACGAATAACTCCTCCTTGTCGCACCCCGTGACGCATCGATTGGGCGGGTTGGGCGTTGCGCCCGAGACTTCCTTATCACTTATGATTGTGAGGCTTGGAGTGGAGGGCGGGCCGCTTTCGAAATGCAGGTCTCGCCGTAGTGCCGCGCACATTCGCTTTAAACGTCTGTATCAGCTTCACGAATGCACGGTGAGCGGTTTTCGAACTGTGGTTCTCGCCCCTGCGACGCGCGCATTCGTTTCAAACGCTTTGTAATTACATCGGCCCAATGAAAGTTCCTGGAATTTTCATCACGACGCTGGCCGGCGGAAGTCGACGGAAGTAAAACGAGGCGGAAGACGGGGGAAGGCCGCCGGAAGGCCTGCCAATGTCAGCGGAAGTAAACGACGCCCCTTCCGAACCCCCTACCCCCGTAGAAGCCTAGCAATGTTGTCTTCCTCCGTGGGCCGGGCGGGATCCCGCCTGGCTTATTCCGCTTTAATATTATAAGTTTAGTTCAGGACGATCCAAATCCCACCCATTAAAAATGGGGTAGACCAAAATCCCGGGCCGTTCACGGATCCCACCATGCTGGGATCGGCTCGAAGTAAGATGGGGCTCATAAGTTGCAGTATTATTGCCGTGTTGGGGTCGTCTTGAGGTCATCTTGAGATCATATCCCGGTCATGTTTGGATCACGCAACCATCGCGTGGTCATTATGAGGCCACCCTGGGTGCGCTTGGATCCATCTTGTTGCCATCGGGCCATCTCGGCGTCGCGCGTTGCTCATGTGTTTCGTCATCTGCGAGTCGGCCTGAGACGGTCCAGAATCCATGGCGGGATCGCGTTGGGGTGGCATCATCCTGGGTCCTTTGGACGTTATCGTCCGTGGCCTGAGGCATTCCTGGAAGCATGTTGTGGCCATGGGACGTCTTGGGATCGCGTGCGTGCGAACGCTGAGCACGCGCGCGCGACTTTTCATCTTGCCGACGGATTTACATACATATCATTCCTCTTGCGAGTTTCCAAGGAAACTTTTGTTGGAGCCAAGTAGACAACCTTCACGGGTTGTGGGCGGGTGGTTTTAAACATGTGGTTATCGTTTTAGCGCCTCGCACGTTTGCCTTAACAGTTTGTAGGAGTTTCACGGACGGAATGCGGCTGGTTTTTCAATATGTCGTTATTGCGTTAGCGCCGCGCGCATTCGCGCTAAAACGGTTCGCGATGTATTCCTGTAGGGAGGGCGGGTGATCTCCAAGATGTGGCTCTTGTTTTAGCGCCGCGCGCGTTTGTCGTGACAGTTTGCAGAATTTTCGCGAATGGAGAGCGGGCGGCTTTCAAATTGTGGTTCTCGCATTGGCGCCGCGCAAATGTTTTTCTCAACGAACTGCAAGAGCTTGGCGTATGGAGTGCGGGTGATTTTCAGAAATCACAATGTTGCTCTCGTTTTCGCGCCGCGCATTTTCGTTCGAAGTGTTTATCAACTTGCTATTGTGGCGGACGTCTTAGAAATTGTGTTTTCGCATTGTTTTGGAGTGGCATGGCGTAACACTCACTGTTCGCACTGGTGTTTTTGCGCGATGCGGGTCCGTTAGGACGCAACCGTAAAGTTGATTCGCGGAAATGGGCTCCAACGGTTGTCTTCCAACGGCGCATTTCTGGCCGCATAATCGAGCAATGCATGTAGGAACCTAGAAAAGTGAATTCGGAGGAAGGGTTCATCGCAACATCTTTGACGCGCTTTGGGTTTACTCTCCTCTTCCTTGTCGTCCTCCTCCTCCTCATCTTCCCGTCCTCCTCCTTCCGTCCTATTCCTTTCGTCGTCCTCCTCCTCCTCCTCGTCCTCCTCCTTTTCGTCCCCCTCGTCGTCGCCCTCCTCCTCCTCCTCCTCCTCCTCCTCCTCCTCCTCCTCCTCTTCGTCCTCGTCCTCCCGCCCCTCGGCGCCCACCTTCGCCGCCCCCCTCCCGGGCCCGCCGGAACCGTGCCCGCCCGAGGCTGCCGCCCAGCCCGCGGCGATCGCCCCCGCGCTCGCGGCGGCGCCGCCGCCCGCGGCGCAGCGGGGCGGGCGTGGCTGAGCGGCGGGGCGGAAAATCCGAGGCGGGGATTTATCCCCAATCAGTGCTTGCATCGAGGGGGTCCTAGCGGAAGTTGAAAGATTTGGCGAAAGTTTCCCGCCGATTTTGGTAGCAGGCTGGGCTCCCGGTTCTGGGTTCCCGGCGTCCCGGTTATGGGTTTGGGTCGATTTCGGTGGGTTCTGGGTTCCCAGGTCCCCGGGTTCTTGGTCGATCTCCTTATCAATCCATCCCACGATTCATTATCGATCTCACTATTCATCTCGCTCAATCGATCTCACCATCGATCTCATCAAACCATCCACTGATTGGGGGTTTTCTCTAGTGTAGTATCCATAACCACCGCCTGAGGGATCGATCTTCGGTGACCTCGGCAGGCGGTGGATATGGACATGTTGGGCCCCCCCGGGGCCCATCTATATATACATATATATATATGTATACATATAAATAGATATAGATATACATATATCCATATATCCATATCGATATCCATCTCCACCGCCCGCTGGAGCCCCAAGACGACGGTTCCACAGGCTGTGGATATGGATATACTCCTGCCCCACAGAAAAGGCGCTCTTGGGCACGGGCTGCTGGGAGCCAGCGGCGGAGCCCCCTGGGCTGCTCCGTCGACGAGTAGCTGGGCGCCCTTGTCCCAGCGCAGGACCAAACAACGCGCCAGGTCTTGTTCACTTGCCAGGCGGAGCCGGGTGGCACGGACCATGCCGTGCCGGACACAGTGCGGGACTTGGAGACGCTGTCCACATGGAGGCCCATGGGGGCGACTTGGAACCTTTTCAGACCGCCTGCGATGCTCGTGGAACGTGCCGTGGCGGCTGACGTTTGCGACGGCACGCTCGAGAGGAGCGCCTGCGCTATCGGGCACAGGCGCCCTCCTCCGACCCCCTCGCGCCGTTCGGCATCGCTCGGGCGTCTGCGCCTGTCGCGGCGAGGCCAGCGCCAGGACGTCCGGACCATCTTGGAGCACCTTGGGTCACCTTGCGGAGAGGCACGCGCGACGTGCGCGGGGCAGGGGCGTCCGAGCGGTGGTGAGGTCGCGGCAGGCCTGGCGGCGGGAGGTTCTATCTGCAGTGTGCGGCCGGGCGGCGTGGCGAGGCTGGCGGTGGAGGTGCACCGCCTGGCCGACCAAGCCTTCATCACGGCGAGGAAGCACTGCTTTCTGCCCGACGCGTCGATGGCGTCAGCGATGCCGAGCATGATGGGTGGCGGTCGATCGCGGTGCGAGATGACGGCGCTGGAATCACGACGGACATCTGCCGGAACCACAGTCACGGCAATGACGACGGCCGAGTCACGGTGGCGATGATGATGATGATGATGATGATGATGATGATGATGATGATGATGATGAAGACGATGTTGACGCTCACAGTGATGGTGATGAAGATGAATATGAAGATGGAGATGAAGACGAACATGAAGATAGAGATCAAGATGTTGATGATAGTGGTGATGAGGATGGTGGTGGTGGCGATGATGTTGATAGGGATGATGATACTGATGATGATGATGGTGGTGATGATGACGATGAGTAAGGTTATGTTAATGCTCATGGTGGTGGTGATCTTGATGCAGGTAAGTATGATGATGAAGAGGAGGAGGAGGATGAGGATACTGATGATGGTGTCGATGCCGATGGAAACACGTAAGGTGGTGATGCTGTCTCTGATGCTGATGTTGATGCTGATGAGGGTGAGGATGGGGATGATGATGATGATGATGATGATGATGATGAAAATTCTGATGATGAGGATCATGATGATGATAGCGTTTGTGATGGGGATAGGGGTGATGATGGTGGTGATGATGATGGTGATCATTTTGGTGGTGATGCTGATGCTCGATGCTGCTGAGAATGCTGACGAGGGTGAGGATTGGGAGGCGGACGATGATCATGCTGATGATCACGATGCTGACGACGATGACGATGATCATGATGATGACGATGCTGATAGTGTTGATGAGGATGATACTGATGATGATGATTATGATGATGATGATGATGATGATGATGATGATGATGACGGTGATGAGGATGATGATGATGATGATGATGATGATGATGATGATGATGATGATGATGATGATGACGATCACGATGTTGATTGCGATAGTGGTGGTGGTGGTGATGATGATCGTGATTACCATGGTGATGGTCATGATGAAGCTGATGCTGATGAGT